GGCTTTTGATCTTTTTGGAAGGCATATAATCAAAAATGAAGCCATTGTAGTCCAAGATCGGGAAAGTATAGAGGCGGAGGAGGACTGCGTCTGTCGGCGCCTACCCCGTCCTGCTTGCATTTCATTATGTTCAGTCGTTGAACCCAGTCGCAAACGCTTCTTAAGGTCGGAAAATGAAATTGAGAGTAGGACGATGATATGATGTCATGCCAAAGTATTTAACACTGTGAACAAGGGGATATTTCAGTAAGGCTTGATGGAAATCACACGTTAAGCATTATTTCGCCTAGAAAGAATGATGACTGCAGCTGCCTTCGACGGGACAATCTGCAATCTCCAACGTGTTATCATGCGTGGGTATCATTTATAATTAGTTGAACAAAATGCGGCGCCTGGTCGACATTAGCTGCGCATACCACACAGCTCTCGGTCGGCCGAATGTAGAGAATATCGAAGACGTAAGAAACATTACTAATATTATTGGAAAATATATGGAGTGGGCTGGAGATAGGACACTGTCCGGAGAAGAACTTGATCTTAAGTATTTCCCCCGTGCGGTGCGGGACTTGCTTGTCGCTATCGGCCGGCACTGTGCGTACAAGCGGAAGAGAGCGCAGCCCGGTTGCCCCCGGGCTCGGGACGGTTGGTTCGGAGATCTGTCGCCAGGTGGCCGTCACCCGGACCGTCGGCTCCGCCGGCACAGGAGACGCGGCCGGCGCTGGGTAGCGGAACAATCGCACCAGGCATCCTAGGTGCCGCAATCGAGTGCTGCGCATGCGCAAGGAAGCGAATGTTCCATCCCAGGGCGAGCACGATGTGGGAAGCGATGAACGGTCTTTCGAGGCACTCCGCACCGCGGCTTCTCTGGGGTAGGTTCTTTGGAACGGACCAAAGAGGGTGGGACTCTGCGGCCTTTTTTGGGAGGATTCCTTCATGGATTTTAATATCTGCATTCTATGTATTTTCACTTAAAATGCGTGTCCACAACTGTCGGTTAACTGTATTTCAAGGCGAGCGTCAGTGATTGGCGTAGAGAAAGTAACCTGATCAATACGAGTAATGTTTGTTCCAGTAGTGTGATAAACAGGTGCACTAAGCTAAACCTTTACCATCCTAGTGCGCTGTGCCCGGGTTGCCCTGCCATGAACACCAGACGAACTCTTCCGGGTCCGCACACCCATACCGTGTGGAAGGCGGAGCAAGTGTGCATTAATCTGAACCTCAATGCATAAAGGTGGTCAATGAGTGCAATGTGACATTTCGCAGAAACGGCTTGGCGCGGCGCGCTGACCACGACGCTAAAGCATAACAGAATCCTGCGCCGTCGATGAAGAATAGGTATTTCCGCAACACTCAGAACTTATCAGTCCTGATCAGCTAGAAAGTTGTTAACAAATCGGTGAGTCGGCTGCGAACTCTAATTTCATGCGACTTCATGAGGAGGACGCTTTAATCCACCCTGTCGAAAGTAGCTTTTGAATCAAGGAAGGGTGCTGCCGTGCCTGATTTAGTGTGAAATCTGAGCTAAATTGAATCAGTGATGTGAACCAGTTGTCCGCCGCGGAGAGGGACAGGACGGAAGTCGTTCTGAAAAGGTGAAAGGAGGTGACTCGACTCTAGGAGCACCCTGGTGCGACTGATAGCAGCGTCCGTCGATGTTGGTCGATGCTCGTTACAACATCGCGGTAAAGGGCCGCGGGGAATGGTTTAGAAATGACAAAATAACAAGCTACGATTTTTTAAAAGGCGACCTTACATAGCTCTTGAATTCAAGTGCAAACGCACACTGCGTACAAAAAACGACCTCTGGACAATCAAATGATTCGGAAAGAGCAACCAAAAAGATTTTACGCTCCATGTAAAGAGAGTGTTCAATTTTGAGTGCAGTTTTGAGGTGAGAAAGCCGCCTCGAAGATCATTCGGTGCCGTTCACAGCCCTATTTTACTGAAAGCATAAGCCTCTCTGGTTTCTGAGCTACACCAGGCATCCATGACGCCATTCAGGCGTAATCAAATCCCGTCATTTCATTGGCCATGCCGCAAACAAGGCCAAGAAAAACACCGTTGTGGAGTTGTTCATACCCGACATTCGTGAGCAAAATTTCCAGACATAACGGTCGTCAATTGCTATGGTCAATTGGCTCTTAATCAATGTTGGGCAAGGTACGACGATGACGCAATCAAACAATGACGTATCAGGAAGGGTATCAACTAAATATGAAGGTTGCATTTTCCAGAGCAGTCCTTTCGAGGATTCAAACATATCACTGATTCTTAGCCAGCGAACTTATGTCACTATATCCACTGTTTGTTTCAATATCTTCAAATGTGAAAATTCCAAGGCGGACTAGCAAAACACGACAAAATGCGTTAAGGCGGCCAAGCAAAACCTGGACCTTGGGGATTTGGAAAACTAGTTTGCGCTTTTTGTGGCGCGGTTGCGGAAAAGGAAAGCTGTGAAGGTGCCAACGCGTTCGTGCGTGGTGTGAACTTGTCAGTTCATTCGAGTGCGTGTGGGCTTGTGATAAAGCGGTTGCGGGATATTGCGCGCACTCTCGAAGGAAAATGCTGTTCTAGCACAATAAGGTTCCAGATTCTTTGGAGTATGCCTTTGAAGCGTTCTGCAAGCTTACACAAATACCACAATGTCGGACGGCTTTTTTGGGTTTGATGCATCCCACGTGGTAAGCAGATGCTTGGTATGTTTCACGCATTCAGTGCTTGACTTCACCAGTTAACTAGGGCACTTTCTAATATGGTATTTGCAATGGTGTGTAATGCCTGTAATCATACATGTGACTGCAGCTGGTTATCCTGGACATGTGTGGTAGCTGAGCCTGTCCACTGCTCTGAGAACATTGCAGGAATAACTGCACCATATTCATACTTTAAATCTGATTGGCCAATATAAGGGCATAGGGACAAGGATGCCAGTGTTTCAAGAAATAGGCTGTTTTAGTGATGTCTCATTTTTAGCATCATTGCCCATACATTGTCATGTTTTTGGGTGAAAATTTAGCTCAATTTACCTGAAATGAGTTGTGCTTGCATGTGCACCATGTGCATCACATCAAGGTTAAGAAGAAGTCCAGTGCAGTGGATGGATTTTCATGGAGCATGAGTCAAGGAAGTGATTGTTGTTCTGCATGTGTGACTTAAATGATCAGGAACTTCCATAGCTCTGGAGTCAATTTTTTCAACCTAAATTCTGTTAACTGGGGCTTTAAGATGCATAGGTAGGCACTGCATGATTATTGACAGTGGTGTACTCTAAAGTTGAATCACAGCTTATAATGAAAACAGAAGTTTGTTCAGGCAGCTCTCATCCAAGTTATTTTTTGAATAGAGTGATTCCTTGTGAGCAGAAAATGTGCTTGAGAACTGTGTTTCTATTGCTGACCATGGGGTAACTCTTACATACCTTTGAGTGGGGTGGTGGTTTGATTACCCTCAGAATGTGAACTGTGGTCATATTCATATGGGGTCTAGAGAACAAATCCCTCTTGTCTGGGCCAGTTTATCAATATGTCAGGTAACACATGAACACCATGTTTCCACTCACCCTCCATGCTGAACCAAGCAGCCATAATGCATGCAGGCACTTCTTGTATGACAATTTGCTGGCTTCAGATTGGCTGGTTGCCTGTCTGTGCACTCTTATTGTGTGTTCTTCCCAGTTTAGTGGCTTCAGCACATATTGCACTGCATGATATTTCTTGTCCTAGATTATTGGCCACAGGTTCTTAATCAGGGCCTGATCTGAGCTATGGGGAGCCATATGTCCTTTACCCAAAATGTAGGGAAAGCTTGCTTGGCACTACTCTTGTGTTTTCTTTGTTTGATGAGCTGGAGTACCATCCCCATGAAAGATTGCTTGTAACATGTCACTGCATGGCAAATTTCTCCATCTTCGTCAGGGCCTTGATGTAGCAGCCAGCTGTGATGGTCTGGCCTTGGGGTGATGTGCTAGTAAGCCAGCTCAGGGTACATCATCATCCTCTAATTGTGGCCTTTTTTGACTGCTTAGCGGTCATAGGGGTAGGATGTTTTAGGTGTGCTTTGCCTATAATGAATAATATTGTGAGCTGTTCATGTCAAAGAACTCAAAACACGACTGTTGGTGAAGCAAACAAGCCTACAGGTCCTTGATAGCCTAGTCTTGGAACACTTGGCTCCAGGTGCTATGAGCCAAGGCACCTGGAGCACCCTGACTCCAGGTGTAATTCCAGCCTTACACCTGTGCAACTCTGTCAGTCTTGGCTTGAGTTGTGACTACATGAGCTGTATCATGTACTTCTGGAGAGTGTGCTAGTTCCTTTGGCAGTCTATAGCCATCAGCTTTCTGACCAGTGTTCTCTCAACTGCCTCTTTAGGATGGACTTCAACTGGGTCACAGAAAGGTCCATGTCTGGTGGTGCGGACATCGACGCCCAGCTATCCAGCCCTGGTCATCCCTCCATGCTCCATGTCGAACGTGATGATGCTTGCCCTCAGACCATCCTGAGCACCGCATCTATGCGCGCTGGGTACCGATCTGGGACCGACCCCCTATGGCTGTCCCCAGGCACTGGCCATGTGGCCCAGCAGGTCTGCATGGCCAGTTTATCCATGGCCATGACCTGTGGTGGGGTTCTGATAAAGTTTCCTTCTGTTTTGATGGCCTCGGGCTATTGAGTCTATGGGGGCGGTAAGACATGAAATAAGGAACACCCTGAATAGCGACAGACATCAAATCAATTCATTCTACTTTTTGCCCACATTTGGACTCCCACATTTTTTGTAGAACATCTGATGCACTTGCCTGGGATATCCCAGGCTACTATCCCGGTGGATGGTGTTTGCTCACGAAGGATGGGCTCAGTGTTTTCCATCAAGCTTATATTAATTATAAAGAGTCAGTAAAAACCAGCAAGCAGAAAATACTTCCACTGTGCCAGCATGGTGCTACACTTTGCTACACGACATAGTAAAAGCTAGCTTTAGACCATGGGTGCACCATGTCAAGATCATGTCACTGCTGCTTCAATCCTGGCTGTTCAGTTGCACTGCAGCTTAGCTTGGTGTCATTGGCAAAGAGTCTGGTGCCACTCGCTGCTCCCCGGCAGATTGTTGATGAAGATCTTGGTACCAGTACCAGGAGCTGCTTGCTCAGACTTTTATCTAGTGACGACCACCGTTGGGTTTTGCCCAGCTAGAAAGGGCTTGATCCATTGCAAAAGATATCACTGAATGCCCATGGCATGCAGTTTCTCGAAAGACGCTGGCGCATACCACAGTCAAAGGCGTTTTTCAGTCGAGGTATGCCATGCCTAAATGAAGCCCATTCTCGTTCAGCAGACTGCAATCGTCCGTGGTCGATAGCAGCTCCGCGATACCCAGACGTCTTAACAGATGCACGTGGGGGGCTGTATTGTGGGAATACCGGGCGCGTGGTGCGCTATCCTCAGGTATGACATAGTCGGGATAACCGGAAAGGTTTAAGTATCTTACCACAATTTTAATAAGAGGCGAGCTAAAGGAACTCGTTATATGCACGCCCCCTTGTGTGGGCGCTGAACGCGGATGTGGCGTTTATAATGTGTGCAGTAAAAGCACGGGGAGGCGGGGCCCGATTGGAAGGTTTTGCAATTGGAGTTTGGCTGAAGACGGATAGGACGGTGTTGGGGGATGTCAGTGAGAAAATCCTCTGGGATGGTTTGTTGGATGATATAAAATGTTGTGGCATTTGCGTGTCCGACGCTTCTTGCTTGGTATGGATCATTTTTGTGTGGTTTGTGCACGGAGAGCCTCGTGTGTCCATTCTTTCTATTATGAAATCCGGAGTACACATTTTATCACGGTTGAATTCCCCGATAAAGTGTCGCCAACACGTGATATGACCAATCCAGTCGGCGTGTCCCGAAGCCCAAATAATCATCATTATGGAACCCTCTCAGCGTGGAAGTCCATGCCCATACATCTGATGACCATCCATGTGGCGTTTTCGTGTCGAAGCGTGCCAACATTCCGAGATGGCTAACTCTCGGGACGGTACAAACTCTGCGGATTTACCAATGCATTATGGCATGAATCCTCGGGTAGAGGAACGCTTTTGACAAAGGAAACTTTCACCAGCGGCGCTCCTCAATGACTGACTGTCTTCACCGCTGCTGCTGTAAACCTGCGTCGTCTGCAGCATGCTGTATCCTCTCACAGTCCGCCATGACCCGGCCGAGAGCACTCGCTGGGCGTGCTGGGGTGTCGGTGGGACGAACTGACTGTGCCGTCTTCTTAGTTGAAGTCTCCGCTCGCCGCCACTGAGCCTGCTGTGTGCCAGCTGACGCTCCTCCCGTCGCTTCAGCTTGATGATGGTCTGGAGCCGCCGGACGTGGACGATCGGGACGAAGATGACCGCTTCAACAGCGAGACCTTCGGTGCCGACGCCGGTGGGTGGCGAACGGGGCCCGCGGCCGCAACAGCGCGCTGGTCTGCCCGTCATTCGCAACCTGCATAGGACATGGGCGTGGTATTGTCGAAACTCACACGTCATATAGGGAAAAACACAAAGCGTTCCTTTTCTGCGAGGTCCATCTTCTGTGGCGCCTGGCCTTCACTACATATAAGTTTATCAAATACCCATTGGACTGTCGATCCGTTGCGTGCTATGCACTGTCGTACGCTCAGTGGCGTCTTCAGTCGGCCTCTCCTGGCTATCGCATGCGCACGTTCGGCCTGGTGGTGCGCCGCGCCAGCGCCTGCCAGCCCCTGACGCCGCCCGTGCCTTGCTGACCCCAGGCGAGTGGGAGGAGGACGACCACGCGAAGATCGCCGCGTGCCTGGAGCGCGAGCGGTCGGCGCTGCAGGGCCGGGAGCCGCCGCTGGCCGCCGACATCGAGCGCGGCCTCTCCCAGCTGGTGACCGACGACGAGCTGGATGACCCGTGCATCATGTCTGTGCGCCGCAGCCGCGGCTCGGCCGGCGGCGTTGCCATACCGCGCCCGCCGCAGGTGAGGGTCGCGCCGCGGCAGCTGGCGCCGACCAAAAGTGCTGTCCCTGTACCGTACCCGCTCGAGGTCGAGTAGGTCAGGAAAGCTGGGGCCGATGAAAAGCTTTGTGTGTTCTCATACCGCCCCGACCGCGAGACGGTTGAGCTAGGGTTCGCCCATGTCTACGCCACCATTCCGTTCCCCTTGGGGTATGGGGGCCAAAGTCCACTGGAGCTGGTAGTGCCGGGGACGTCACGCGCTCGAGGTCGGTGCCAGCTGGCTCAGAATGGGTAGAGACGGATGTTGGCGTGTAGAGGGCTTCGATACTTCTGTGGATCCGTGGTGTGGTAGAGGAAGTGCCGTACGGTCTGGGGTCTGGTATGAAGACACTTACATGTCACCGAGAGCGAGGCGTTGTCTGACCCGCCGTGTTCCGCCCGGGCAGTTCGGGCGCGCCCGCTCGCCGCCGCTGTCGTCGCTGCTCGAGTCGGACGTGTCCGGCTCACCGTCCACCACCTCCATCTGGTCGACGACGCCCACGCGCCCGGCCGGCGCCTTCGACGACCCGGCCATAATGTCGGTGGTGGGCCGGCCGCGGGCGCCGCCGCCGCCGCCGGCCGCGCCGCCCAAGGTGCGCACGGTGGAGGAGCTGGAGCATGACCTGCTGTCGCGGCCGGGCCCGCCGCCGCCGCCGCCCGGCTTCGGCGGAGGCCTGGCGCGCCGGCCGCCGCCGGGCCCGCTGCCGCCGCCGCCCGACCTCAGCCGACCGCCGCCGATGCGGCTGCCGCGGCCGGCGGCGCCCGGCGACACCTTCCGCATGCCGGACACGCACGTGCCGCCGCCCAGCGTCACCGTCCTGCTGCCGCCGCAGCTGATGGCCAGAGGTGAGCCGGCCGTCCACGGGCGGGGCCAGGCCCGGCGGAGATGGCTCAGCTGGATGGGGGGAGGGGGGGGGGGGGAAGGGTCGAACTTCAAGCCAGGCCGCGCAAGTTGTGTGATGTGTGTCTGTGTGTGTTGTCTGACGCCGTCTGACCGACAGACCGGGCCAACCGTGTGATGTGTGTCTGGGTGTGTTGTCTGACGCCGTGTGGCCGCCAGACCGGACCGGCTGTGCGTGATATGTGTCTGTGTGTGTGTTGTCTGACGCCGTGTGGCCGCCAGACCGGACCGGCCGTGTGATGTGTGTCTGTGTGTGTGTTGTCTGACGCCGTGTGGCCGCCAGACCGGGCCGGCCGTGTGTGATGTGTGTCTGTGTGTGTTGTCTGACGCCGTCTGGTCACCAGACCGGGCCGGCCGTGTGTGATGTGTGTCTGCGTGTGTTCTCTGACGCTGTGTGGCCGCCAGACCGGGCCGGCCGTGCGGCGGGCGGGCCGCGGCCACCGGCGGCCGGCCGGGGCGGTGGGCAGCAGCAGCAGGCGTGGCGCCAGGACCGCGAGCGGCGCCAGCACGACCCTTACGCCGGCTTGATGACGGCCCGCGAGCGGCAGTGGCTGCTCAACATTCAGCGCATGCAGATCAAGGGCAACACCGACTACTATTTCCGGGTTAGTCAGCGGCGGTGGCGCCACTGACAGCCGCGCCATGGCGAGCTTTGCCGACCTATTGCCCCCCTCCCCTCCCCTCCCTCCCCCAGAAGGCAGTATTTGTACAACCGTGTTGAACGGGTTTTGGGTATAAATCCAGGTTTAAAAAAGTTTTTAGTGAAGTGCTAGGCTTCCTTGATGGATACAGGCAAGCGTAATCAGCCATCAGTCAGGCACCTGCTGCTGCCTATGGAATTGGCAATGCTGTTGCGGGGCCTGTAAGCCACGGACAATGTTGCTTTTTGTATTGCTTCCATGACATGTTTGTATATGTAAGGTCATTTTATTTTTCATTGTATACGATTTTTGTCCCGGACATTACACCGGACGACGAAGGAAATGCCACGTGTTGTATCTTCAGCATTCTCTTCAAAACATATCAAGATCATTAGATGAATAAGATTCAACAGTTACGCTCAGTGTTGGTTTATAAAAAGGTGACAGAATACAGTTTTGTAGATTGGTGAATTCTTGTGGTGACCGTTATGTTACGATAAGGCTAAGTATGCATATCTGGGACTAAAGTAAGGGATCTTGATGTTAGCCATGAAAAAAACAAAACAGAAGGGATTAATATGATTGCATATTTCTTACAGCTTCGTTTTGGCAGGAATACTACTATAGGTTTGCGTATAGGTGCTCGAAGTAAGAACAAGGTCGGCGGCTGATGCGGCTTGGGGAGCACTTACATTGCGGGCCGAGTGTGGGCTTTTCAAATTTGGGTGCGGGGCGGGTGCGGATGTTCCAGACTTCAAAAGTGGCAGGTTTAATGCATGAGAGTCCGATGGCTATACACGAGACCTGGGAACATCCGAACCAGACTGATGCAAGTATGGTCCCGAGCGGTTTTGATTTTTGTTCAGGGGGAGGGATACACTGAAATATTACTTCTCTTATACCCGTGGTCGTGTTTTTCTCATTTTACTGAGGTTCTCTACACTGATCGCTGCTCTCTCAGTCAGTGACCTCGTCAGTGCCGATGCTCCCGGCGTCGACAGTCGTGCTCGAACTCGTGTTCCCCTCCCCCATCTCCCCACCCCCACCCACCACCTGCGCCGTCACCGGCGATCGCCACTGACCAGACGCCGGCGCGGCCTGACCGGGATCTTTGTCTCCCCCTCCCCTCCCTCCACTTCAGCCAAGCGTGTACGTAGTGAGCCCTGGTGATAAATGTGTTGTCAGACACAGTGTTTCGTGTCGTATTTACTGATTGATTTGCTTCGAGGGCAATGCGTTTTTGGATACTCAAGAATAACTACTAATAATATTGTGAGGTCATTGCTTCTGTTTTGAGTTTGGCGACGCGCCGGATGGCGCTAGGTTCGGTGAGGCTGGGTGCCTCCGGGTACCGCCGCTGACCCCGTGCCGTCCGTTCGGCAGCACTTCAACTCGCGCCAGCTGAGCCAGGGTCGGCGGGACTCGCGCGGCGGCCGCGGCCAGCGCGACGACAAGCACACCGACCACCGCAACTACAAGCCGCCGCAGATGGAGAACTCGCTCGGCAAACTGCAGGTCAGGCCCGGCGTGGCGGTGACCCGGCCCGGCGGGCTGTCGGGGCGGAGGTGACCTAGCCTGGCGGGCTGTCGGCGCGGTGGTGACCGGACCCGGCGGGCTGTTTGAGCTCAGAGCTTGTTTTACTGGGGATGGGGGAAATTGAGGGTGGAATTCGCCTCAGCCAAAGGTGCCATGAACAGTGAGATGTATTCATCAGAGCCCCGATTGGGACCGAAGTAAGTGGACGGTTTAATCCAGCCACCAATGGGAGCCCGAACATACTGAAAAGAGTGCAAAGATGAGCCCTCAGTCGTGCGTAAAAGCTATAGTTTCCACCAAAAATCTTGAATTCAGACACATTTATAATATGCCCAGCCGGGATAGTTGCCTACTCCGCCCTCCTCCCTCCCTCCACTCTAGCCAAGTGTGTGCTTAGTGAGCCCTGGTAGTGTATGCGTTATCATACAAGTGGGTGTAGCGTATCGTAGTTAAGGGCAGATTGAAGTATAGTGGCACACTCTGCCTCTGTTTTGAGTTTGGGGACACGCTTGGTCGCAGAAACTGTTTCATTGTCACTTCCTGCTTGCTCACTGATTACTCCTGTTATCTCTCTTACCTAGTGCTATGTGCTGTTCCCTCCGCGCGTTCGTGACCACCTGGACTCCACCTCTTAATACCTCTTAATGACCACTGGGGCGTCACCTCATCTGACCGAGGTGGTGCGGCAGCTCTTCTGGTCATCGCAATCCAGCCCGAGTTGGCCGCCTCGCCGGCTGGCCCCCCGCAGACATGTGCGTAATCTGCTGCCGTCGCCGCCAGGTGGCCAGTGTTACAGCGCCGCGCAAGATCATCGACCTGCAGGTGATCAACCAGGAGTCGGCGGACGGCGCGCGCGACCACAAGGAGGCCAAGCGAGACCGGCAGACCCTGCTGCTGATCGAACAGGTAGCGATGTCGGCGCGGCGACACCACGGGGAGCTGCTGCCGTACTGCTGGGAGGGCAGCAATCACCTGAGGCATCGGTGACTTATCGAGGCCGTGTGAATTAGGATTTATGTTGCCCAGAATGGAATTGTTTATGCCCTGAATTAGTGCTGTCACAGTCATGTTTCCTGTAGCGTCCTTACATGCTCAAATGTTCTCATCTTCCATGTATTACGCTTTTCTGGGGCATCCAAAGCTTAAATGGACAAATCACATGTGGTATGCTCGGTTACTTGGTTGATGTGGCGTGGAATCCGGCTATGCGTGCCGTAGCTGAAGCAACGCCCAATGGCAATGTCTCCGCTTCGTAGCTGTATGATACTGAGCCGTTGGTACGTCGGACAGCTGCACCAGCGGTCAGTGACGGTTGTTCGTGTGCTGCAGCTGTACCAGCAAGTGATGCTGGTGGAGCGGGCTGACCGGCGGGCGTCGGGCGCGGCCAGCGTCGACTCGGAGCCGGAGGAGGCGGCGCCGCCGCCGGCCAGCCCGGAGCAGATGCGCGCCGCCGCCACCGGCCGGCTGTGGGCCGCGCTCAGCCGCGAGCCGCAGCTCGTGCAGATCCTCGGAATCAGGAAAGGCAAGGTGAGCAGGCGTGGGCTGGTGACCGCCGCCACCGGCCGGCTGTGGGCCGCGCTCAGCCGCGAGCCGCAGCTCGTGCAGATCCTCGGAATCAGGAAAGGCAAGGTGAGCAGGCGTGGGCTGGTGACCGCCGCCACCGGCCGGCTGTGGGCCGCGCTCAGCCGCGAGCCGCAGCTCGTGCAGATCCTCGGAATCAGGAAAGGCAAGGTGAGCAGGCGTGGGCTGGTGACCGCCGCCACCGGCCGGCTGTGGGCCGCGCTCAGCCGCGAGCCGCAGCTCGTGCGGATCCTCGGAATCAGGAAAGGCAAGGTGAGCAGGCGTGGGCTGGTGACCGCCGTCACCGGCCGGCTGTGGGCCGCGCTCAGCCGCGAGCCGCAGCTCGTGCAGATCCTCGGAATCAGGAAAGGCAAGGTGAGCAGGCGTGGGCTGGTGACCGCCGCCACCGGCCGGCTGTGGGCCGCGCTCAGCCGCGAGCCGCAGCTCGTGCAGATCCTCGGAATCAGGAAAGGCAAGGTGAGCAGGCGTGGGCTGGTGACCGCCGCCACCGGCCGGCTGTGGGCCGCGCTCAGCCGCGAGCCGCAGCTGGTGCAGATCCTCGGAATCAGGAAAGGCAAGGTGAGCAGGCGTAGGCTCGCGACCGACGGAACGTGGGCTGGGCTGCCTGGTGTTGTCGGGAAGGGACGGGGCGTGGGGGCCTGGTGTTGTCGGGAGGGGACGGAGCTTGGGGGCCTGGTGTTGTCGGGAAGGGAGAGGGCCCGGGTGTTGGTTTTTGCGGTGAGAGACGCTGTGTGGAGGCCTCCCAGTGTGTAGGAATGCGCCGGGTGCAAGGGGCCGGTGTGAAGCCGGTGGTTTGTGGCGTAACTAAGCGTACTGGTCCGCGCGCTTTTGTTCCTCGAAATAGCGGCAATCTGTGCAGATGACGTATAGCCTCGACTGCACTGCGGAGCGCTGATACTCGACCGGTGCCTGGGGGCGCGGGGTGCCCATCCCCTTCGGTGCGCCCCTTAGCTCTGTAACCATCCAACTGACCGGCGCCTGATCTGAGTGATGGACCTTGCTCTCGTGCGAGTTTACGGATGTTTCCCTGAGTCACTGCGGCAGCATGCGTCCTAGTACGGTGGATGTGTTTTGCTGTGCGGAGTTGTAGACTGGAGGCTTCCGTGCGTGACGTTGCGGCGCGTGTCCGCCCCAGGCGCTCGTGCTACGCTGCATCCCGGTGTTGAGCAGCCAGCAGTACTACCAGATCGCTACCACCCTGCTCAAACACCTGGTCACCGTGCTGCACAAGGACAAGCTGGACAACATGCTGCACAAGTTCCACGTCTGCCTGCAGATGGTGGGTTGCGCGCGGATGGCGACGGGTGACGCTGCCGTCTCGTCCGCGACGTGTTGCCGACACCTGGCCGCGGGTGTTCTG